GGGGGGGGGGGCACTAAAATTGCATTGAACCGTGTTGAGAAAATAGAGGTCCTGCCTTGGAAGGCAAAGAAAAAGAAAGTGGCCCTCTCTTGAATAGGATATAAAAAGTATGACCCTCCCCTAAAATATATATACCAGATATCCCGATGGAAAATTTATTAAAAGCACTATTTTATTGAGTAAACAACTGGCACATTTTATTCTTCACATGTACTACTCTTTTATTATTCATAACTTTCCTTTTTCATGTTGTAGCTGTCCTGCCGGATCTTGTTGTATAAAAAAAAGTGGTTGTCACGTCCTTGTCTTCACTCATGTTTGAAGCATCACTGTCACTTCCATTGTCATCACTATCTGTTTCACTGTCGCCGATTTCTTCTTTATCCAAATCTTCATATATATATATATACACTTTAAGATTATACGTGTATATATATAAGTTATAAGATCTTTACGTGTACTCCACTAAAGAAACCTAATGCTTGCGCTAATGCTTGACTACATTTAGATTAATACGCAGCTGCATTAACTCAGTATTATGTATTATTATTCAAGCATAGTGTGTATACAGTTTATGATATATCATATTGCCATAACCAATAAATACTGTTGTTTAATACTTTTGTTTCTCTATATGATATCTTTGACAATAAACACAAAAAGCCTTATTCTTGTTCATTTTCTTTAGTCAAAAAATTGTGGCCCTCCCTATAAAGCTTATTAAAAAAATTCGACCGTTCCCAAACACACATTCAAAAAAATATAGCCCTCCCCACATATTTAGTGCCCCCCCCCGATAAATAATAATAACTCCCTTACATAACGATGTTTGGTTATGATATGAAGACTTCTATGTTTTTTTTTAAGAACCGTATTTTACCGCAATGAAATTAAGAAAATAAATACTTTGGTAGCATCAGAGAGAAAACTAGCTGGAGATCATTAACTATAAACTAAACCTAGTCAAATGAAGGCCATAACCAAATGTGTCAGTTAAAAATAAAAATGTTCTTATCCTAATTCTTCATTAAAGTATTTTTATTCCTTTCATAAAAGCCTTAACTATTTTTCGAGAAGCTTAAAAACTTAAGCTTACTAGATTTTGAGATTCAATTTTTACCAATTTTCATCTGTTTTCAAGTGTGAGAAAAATATGGAAATCAAGAACGACAAAAGTTTTCGAAAAAGAAAGTTTACATTCAGTTAACATTAAACTTGACAAGAACAAAAAATGCAAAATGCGATGCAAGATACAAAATGACTTATTTCTTTGTCAGTAAATTGGCATTTGTATATGTTTTTGAATATTTCTTAGCTTTTTAAAGTAAAAGACAAGGTCTTTATACAATAACATATCTCTCAACCACACAAATTTAAGCCCTTTTGTATAATCATACTATGCTGGAAAAGCTCAATAAATGGCGAATATTTGGTGTAATTCTATAAGCTATTCTCACTTGAATTTAAGCACGAAAAGCCTAAAAAACGAGATTTTTTCACATGGCATGCATTATCTCACCCTGCTTCCTATATAAGGCCCCGTCCACACGTATCCGGAATTTTTTTTTGTTTTTTTTTTTGTTGCGGGTACGAAAATGTTCACGTCCACACGCAGTGTATTCGAATCGTTTTCACTGTCCACACGTATCCGGAAATTTCTTGATCCCCCTGATGCACGCTAGTGCCTAGTCCCTTTGACGGATAGTTTTTCTTATCGAGCATGCGCAAAATCGTGTTTACGTCAGCGTATCCGAAATGTGCGGATACGACCGTCCACACGTATCCGTATTCGGAGCGTATTCGAAAATTTCCACTCTGGAGGCCGTGTTTTCGAAAATTTTCGGATACGGACACAAAAATTCCCGGACACGTGTGGACGCAACCCGTATCCGCAAAAAAATATTTGCGGACTCAGCATCATTAAGGCATAGCTCTCAGATGAAAAACTGATTAGCTATATCATAACCAGTTTTCTACGAATCTTCCCCAAACTTGGCAAGTTAATGTCTTTTGTGAAAAGAAGGAACCTTAGAGCCTTGGTTACCATGGAAACTA